TTTGTTGATCTAAATATTTAATCTCGAGACTAACATAATCTCGAGATTATGTTAGTCTCGAGATTAGCGAAAACAGAGGATTAAGCATTAATCCCGATATCCACCATTCAAAAGTTCCCAGCTCAGGATACAAGTACAAGATTAGATTGGTCTCGATATTATGAAAAAGAGAGGATCAAGCATTAATCTAGGATATCCACCATTCTAAAGTTTTCAGCTCAGGAAAGACATTTTTAGTAAAAGCGTCATATCATGAAAAATAAACATGATCCGATCGATTCAGAGAAACCTTTTAATGTAATGAATCTTGTTCCGAAGAAACTGATTACTTGCCTCAAATTCTAACTTACTAATTCTTATATCTTTGGAACCTGCATGATGTTGGTACTTTCCCAAATATACAATTTTCCACTTGGGAAACTGTCACTTGGGAAGTCGCCATTGGGAAAATGCCTTTGGGAAAGTACCTAACACCAAAGGTTTACACAATCAGATTGCAAAAATATATGAATTATAAAATTTGCGTTTGAGGGAAGTAATTAGTTAAATTGTAAAAAATGGGCGTATGTAAAATATGTGATTTTATTTACATTTAAATTTCAATATTAATTTAATGCATCTACATATTTATTCTATTTATTCGTACACTATTATTACAATGGTCCAGTTTAAAATCAACAAGGAATGAGATATATAACATATAAAATATAGAATTAATATAAATAGTCGAAAACAATAAAAAGCCTAGATAGTTTTTACATATATCGTCAATAATTTCAGCTATTTCATCGAAATTAAATCCGCCGAAAACATTTTAATTTGACCGGATTAATAGTAAATTTTTTAACAGTGGAGTTCTCCAATTTTCAGCCGGATTTGCGTAAATCATATTTGACTTTACTAGAGACTTGTTCAAAGATAGTTTATCTACATAGGTTTCATTTGCAATATTAGATAAATCAAACAATAGTCGGATGCTGAGCTTGGAACTTTTACACATAGATTCGCAAAATGATACAAATCGACTGCACAACATAATTTTTAAATGAATTTTGTTCAGAAATTTGTTCAATAAAATATCTATGAGTTTGTCGTGGCAAACCAATTAAAATACGAATAACAGTATTCCAAGAAGTATACAATTTTACAGTGTTAACACAAAACAAATCCCATAAATTGGAACCATATAGACTAGATCCATATAAAGCTTAACAACCATTGTGGGTTCAGAAAAATGAAATTCTTGATTCAAAGAGTGAATTATTGATATAAACTTGGCACGTTATATTATTTTGACGTCATATATGTAAGAATGTTTGAACTTTTAATTACATAAATGCAAGTATCTCTGATAGTAGATATTTATGTATGCGAATTCTACTGTATTTATTTATGTGTGTGTGTGTATGTATATTTTGCATCCAATTTATCCTATGATTGAAATATATTCCAAGCTATAAACCATACCTGGAGAAGCGTCTCGGAGAATTTTCTCTGATCTATTTGAAACCTTGAGATAAACGCAAATATTTCATTTTTCTGACGGATTTATCAATCCTCCAATGAATAATGGATCTGCATTCTGTTGCATTACTTACAAATAAGAATAAACTTTTTGATATCCCAAATATTAAGAAGAGTATGTTCTGCTCTCACGCTTGGTCATTTTCCGGTCAGATCGGCCATACAGACGCCGTCAATCAGCCGGGGCTACTGCCCCGCCCCCTTGTGTCGGCACTACGGTTCAAGGGGGCGGAGCAGGATCGGTTCCTTAGAAAGGACGGCTGGTGCGGGGCGTATCATGAGGGGGGCGGGACCATATTCTCAAATTATGATTTGATTGATTATTATTTTGATTTGTTAATTTAGGAAGCTGGTTTAGAAACCAAATAGACTAAAAAGACTAGACTCTAAAGAATGACTCCGTGTCTCAGACCTTGCACATTTTCATAAATATCTACTCCTAATGTATGGTTACTTCTAGATTCCATTATCATACACAGATAATATGTTTAAGCCTATATATGCTCTCATATCTTTAATTATAACACCCAACACCAGCATTTCATTCCATTTTATACTCAATTTTACAATCCCAATCTCCATTTTACATTCTTCATTTAACATATCCGTGACCCAATTTCTAACTTCCAATCTCCATCTAAAATTCCCAATTCCGTTAGATATCCCCGAACATCATTTAACGATACCAATCTTCATGTGTGCAGACGTGCTATCTCCAATCCATTTAAACTTGCTTTCTCCATTTGAAACTTGCTATTTTCCTTTAAACTTAATCTCATTTCAGACTCATGATCACCATTTATCATCACAATCTCCGTTTAAGACTTTCAATCTCCATTTAGTAACCCTAATCTCCTTTTCAGACTTTAAATTTGCATTTAGTAATAACAATCTCCATAAAGACTTTCAATCTCCATTTAAGATTTTCAATCTCCATTTAAGACTTTCAATCTCCATTTAGTTACCCCAATCTCCATTTAGTTACCCCAATCTCCGTTTCTGACTTTAACTCGCTATTTAGGACTTCCAATCTTCATTTTACATTTCCAAACTCAAATAAACCCTCCTATTTCCATGTGACACTCCCACCTCCATTTAAAACCTTCAATCTAGCTCCATTTAACTCACACAATCTTAATTTTACAAAACATCCCTCCATTTAACGCTTAAAATTTCCAAATGACTTAATACACATTCACTAATCCCAATCCCAATATATAACACTTGAACTACTTACATTTAACCTGGGGGTTTTAATCCGTATTACTCCCCCCCCCCCTCTTCTTCTCTCTATTCTCCTTGAGTGGTGTATCTTATTCTCCTGGTTTTTCCTAGTGGTTTTATCAATTAAGATGTCAGGTGGTTTGTTGGATGAAAAGGCTGTCAATCAAACTGACAGGAAAATTGCAGGCAGGAGGCCGGTTATCAAATATCATTATGTCAGTCAAAATATCACCTTCCCCCTCTACACTTATCCTCGCATACAATCAGTCAATTTAACAAATAGGAAAATTGGTGTCTTAGCAATACATTGGTTTGTTTTACAGGATATAGTTAGGTTTACTGTGAGAGGAGTTTATAGAGGTGTGAAGAAGGATGATTGGTAGAGGATAACAGAAATTAAAGGAGGGATGAGAGAAGAGGAGGGTGTGTAGAGGGTTTGTGTAATTGAAGGGAAAGGGAGGGAGTGTTGTGGTTAAAGAGGAGGGAGTGGTGTGATTGAATGGGAGGGAGTGGTGTGATTAAAGAGGAGGGAGTGGTAGGATTGAAAGGGAAGAAGTGGTGTCATAAAAGAGGAGGGAGTGGTGTGATTGTAGGGGAGGAATTGGTGTTGGGGAAGAAGAGAGAGTGGTGTGATTGAAAAGGAGGGAATGGTGTGATTGAAGAGGAGGGAGTAATGTGGTGGAAGAGGAGGGAGTAATGTGATGGAAGAGGAGGGAGTAATGTGGTGGAAGAGAAGGGAGTAATGTGGTGGAAGAGATGGGAGTAATGTGGTGGAAGAGGAGGGAATAATGTGGTGGAATAGAAGGGAGTAATGTGGTGGAAGAGGAGAGAGTAATGCGGTGGAAGAGAAGGGGTAATGTGGTGGAAGAGGAGGGAGTAATGTTGAGGAAGAGGAGGGAGTAATGTGGTGGAAGAGGAGGGAGTAATGTGGGGGAAGAGGGGGGAGTAATGTGGTGGAAGAGAAGGGAGTAATGTGGTGGAAGAGGAGAGAATAATGTGGTCGAAGAGAAGGGAGTAATGTGGTGTAAGAGGAGGGAATAATGTGGTGGAGGAGAAGGGAGTAATGTGGTGGAAGAGAAGGGAGTAATGTGGTAGAAGAGGAGGGAGTAATGTGGAGGAAGAGGAAGGAGTAATGTGGTGGAAGAGGAGGGAGTAATGTGGTGGAAGAGGAGGGAATAATGTGGTGGAAAAGAAGGGAGTAATGTGGTGGAAGAGGAGGGAGTAATGTGGTGGAAGAGGGGGGAATAATGTGGTGGAAGAGAAGGGAGTAATGTGGTGGAAGAGGAGAGAATAATGTGGTCGAAGAGAAGGGAGTAATGTGGTGGAAGAGAAAGGAGTAATGTGGTAGAAGAGGAGGGAGTAATGTGGAGGAAGAGGAGGGAGTAATGTGGAGGAAGAGGAGGGAGTAATGTGGTGGAAGAGGAGGGAGTATTGTGTTGGAAGAGGAGGGAGTAATGTGGTGGAAGAGAAGGGAGTAATGTGGTGGAAGAGAAGGGAGTAATGTGGTGGAAGAGAAGGGAGTAACGTGGTGGAAGAGGAAGGAGTAATGTGGTGGAAGAGGAATGAGAAATTTCGTGGAAGGGGAGGGAGTGAACTTAATCTGAATAGGTTAAACTTAAAATAAAATTGATGATTGTAAACCTTTTTTATTTAAAAAACTAACTATTTTAGAGATGACTATATAATATAATTATGTATGCATTTCCTTTTTTATTTACCTTTTCAAACAAAAGTGAAATTATGTTTTTCTTATAATACATATATATATATATTCGTGGATTTAACATATATTTGAAAATTTTTGATAAATCTTTAATGAGCTTCATGTGTTATAAATTTATATGAACACAGTTAATTATAGAAATATACTTTTTTACTTTGTGATTGTATTATTCAATTTTTCAACGTTTAATTATTATATATTTATTATATTATTATTTATTAATTATACATTAAAAATGATAATAATAATATAAGGTTTAACAAAGAAATATACATATGATTAAATTCTAATTATGACAGCACAGATATAAAAGAAATATTGAGAGTCGAGGTTGCGGGATTAAATTCACCCAAAATTTTCAGTTTTCAGCATAGCAGAGTCTCTATATAAACCCATTACTACGGCCGCGTAGAACCAATGTTGTCATAAATCAGCTGTTTATGTCAGGCGAGCCGTGCCAACATAATATCGGTTCTGTCCGGGACTCGCTGCGCCGGCTCGGACGGAGGAGACTGGAGAGAATTCTTGAGCTCAGTTAAGAATTTACCGCGAGGAGGGATGGATTATGTTGCGGAAAAGAAAACAGAATATTCCAAAAAGGAGTGAAAATCCAGAGGACCACCAGGAATTAAGAGGTGGGCACATTCTTACATTATCAACAAAATATAAATATCTTAAGATTTTGTTCGGTTTAAAATTGAAAGTTTAGAATAGATTATGTCCGAGAAAAATGCCGAAAAATATAGATTACACACCAAAGGTCAAAAAGCTTAATTTAAAAAAAAAACATCTTTCTTCAAATGTAAAAAAGTCTTTTGATATCTATTCTCCTTTAAAGTCAAGGAAAACCATTACAGACAATATGTTAACATAGTTTATGGAAAAAAATAGTTTTCTTTAATTGTTTAATTGTTTTTAAAAAAGAGTTTTTTATGTCCAATTCTTTAAAAGGTTTTAAATACCCCTCCTCAAACAAGCCGTTCCTCCCTCCCCCGACTCACGGAAAAGTTCGTTAATTAGATCGACCCCCACCCCAACGCAATATTCACACATCTACACAGTTTGTTTTTAATCTTTGTGAAGAAACAATCTCAAGGAATAATAATTGTCTAAAAACATTTTTTTAGAAAGTGAATATTTGCAAATTATCTTTTTCCCATCTCATAATCTGAGTTCTTTTCCCTTATGTCCATTTGACAGCCCAAATTTTTATTTTGAATAATCTTTTTGTTTGTTTATATTCTTGTGATTTTTACATTTTTTT